TACTTGAACAATCTAGGTAGCGGTCTACCACACAATGTTTCAAGCCAAATATCTAACCTGTAGCCTTTGCCAATTCAGAGAAGAAGATTTTTTATGTTTTACTATGTACATATAAATAAAAACCTATGACCCCCAGGGCGGGGCCAAGTTTGATACTAGGGACAAAATTTGATCAACTTTGGTATTGGACCTTCAGATAACACAATATACCAAATATCAAAGCTCTAGGCCATTTACTTTCAGACCAGAAGATTTTTCAAGTTTTCACTATATGTTTATAATGAAAATCAATGACCCCCCGGGGCAGGGCCAATTTTGACCCGAGGGCCATAATTTGAACAATCTTGGTAGAGGTCAACTTAACATTGATTTATGCCAAAAATCTAACCTGTAGCCTTTACAAATTCAGAGAAGTAGATTTTTTTAGGTTTTACAATATACATATAAGGAAAAACCTATGACCCCCAGGGCGGGGCCGATTTTAACTCTAGGAACAAAATTTGAACAACTTTGGTTTTGGACCTATAGATGATACCATAGACCAAATATCAAAGCTCTAGGCCATTTACTTTCAGACCAGAAGATTTTTCAAGTTTACACTATATGTATGTAATGAAAATCAATGACCCCCCGGGGCGGGGCCATTTTGATCCTAGGGCCATTATTTGAACAATCTTGATAGAGGTCTACTACACAATGTTTCATGCCAAATATCTTATCTGTAGCCTTTGCCAAATCAGAGAAGATTTTTTTTAGATTTTACTATATATATATATAACCTATAACCCCCGGGGCGGGGCCAATTTTGACACTAGGGACAAAATTTGAACAACTTTGGTAGAGGACCAATAGATGATATCATATACCAAAAATCAAAGCTCTGGCGCATGTACTTTCAGACAAGAAGATTTTTAATTTTGTGTTTTTTGAAATCCTTTTCTGGCCCTTTGACCTACATATGCAACAGACCATTTGAACAACTTTGAAAGGGGACCATCCAAGGATCATTTCTGTAAAGTTTGGTTGATGTGCAGTCATTGGTTTCAGAGGAGATGTTGTTAATGTTCAAAAGTTGACGACGCACGACGACGGACACAGGGCCATCACAATATGCTCAGGGTGAGCTAAAAAAAAAGATTAAAGATTTTGGAGCAACGTATAAAATTTCATGAAGCACTAAAATATTTGCTTGCAACTGTACAAATAGTTTTGAGATCGTCCGTGATAGGAGATACACAGCCAATAACTCTAGCATGGTTTCTTGACAGAATTATGAACAGTTTTGAACCAAACAATTCTTGCTTAAATATTTTCATGTTATATCATTATTTAAAGATTAATGATCATGTGTACTGAAGGTATCATCTGAAACTAAATACATGTCCACGGGATCATAATTGGATGTCACTTCCAAATCAAAATTTATCCAAAACTCGTAAGACTAATGTGGGTTTTACTGAATTATGGTCCTTGGTGTATTTACTTTAATCTTAATACGTGTTTTCGTGACTATAAATAGAGGTCACTTTCCAAGGACCATTATTCTGACATTGATTTTGACTGATTTTGCCTGCTTTCAGCTCGGAAAATTCTTGGTCAAAGGTATCCACTGAAGACCAAATCCCTTAAAAATAAAATTTAAATTTCTTATATGGCGAGTAAGTTTCTTATTATGTTAAATTAAGGTGACAAACGTTTCTTAAATCAAAACAAAACCTAGCGTATCATAATAAATTATGCGCTGTAATTTTCTTCAAATGACAATTCAAAGTGCATTAGCCTACGTTTTGTGGTTTTTGAGAACATTGTTTGAATTGTGTGATAATTGCACATGCAGCGATAGTAATTCGCACGAAGTGGTATAATTTGGTACCAAAATAAATGAAAATAAGCTTTCTGACACCAAATCAATAATTTTATTGACATCTGTACGTTATCGTTGAAGTCCATATACTTTTTTCGAAGGTCTTTAGCCTAAAAATGTTCTTTGCAAGTGTATAGTAAGTAAAACGAATAATTTCTAGAGATACAAAATGGTGAGTTTCACGCACAGTTTCCAATAGCATACATATACATTAAAAGAAAGTTTAAGTTCATATGTAAAGAGATAGTAAATACTTATTTCAATTTTTAAACATCAAATATTTCACTATTTGTCTATATGACAAATGCTTGATTGATTGTTTTTATATATATCAAATGAACTTTTGATGGGATTTGATATCTCACGCTCAGTGTTATTTTTCTTTTGCGATAGTAGTTCTTTGACCTCTGCAGTGTCATGTGTGTCTTGGCCCTCATTTTACTGTAAATAGAAAAAAGATGAACAAGTATAATTGCTTGTTATTTGGTATGGTGATGTTTATGAAAGGCACATTATGCCTCAGAAATGCTATCATTTTTTATTTCTCAAAGACTTTAAATATTTGGTGTCTTGTTACAGTTTCCACAAAATATACTTATTTGCCATATAAATGAACTTTGCATCTTTTGCCTTGCTAGCAATTGGTATAATTATAGTGAATTAGTATTTTGTATGGAAGTTAAAATACTATTTGTTTACATTTGCTACCTTTACGACACATTACCGCACATTCAGCACTACTTTCTTCAGCTGTTAAATTATGTACATGTTCTAAATCCATTATTAAAACATTATTAAACAGTGTTTTACATTTCTGAAGAATTTAATAATAATGGATTTCTGGGGCATAATGTGCATAAATGATGATGCTTTTATATGGCGGTATTTGTTAAATTTAGTCACTATGTTACTTAATTTATGAATTTGGAAGAAAAAAGAACTTCTTACAAAAAACAACAACAACAAAACAATGATACAGTGATTGAAGTTATGATTAAAGGCACATTGCGCCTCAGAAATCCATATTGTTAATCCAACTGAAAAAGGTGGCGATGTGTCGTTAAGGAAGCGAAATGTAAAAAACAAAGTAGTATTTTGACTTCCATACAAAATACAAATTCACTAAAGGTATACCAATTGTCAACAGACCTTAAGATGCGAAAAATAGTTTGAGTATCTAGCAAATGAGTATGTTTTCGGAAACTGTAACAAGATACAACAAAAAGACAAGCATTTCAGAGGCATAATGTACGGTGGCACAAAGGTGACATATGTGTGATTTTATTTATCTCGTGGCTACGAGATACTATGACGTGGCCACGAGTTACTAAGTCGTGGCCACGAGATAGCTAAGCCGTGGCCACGAGATAGCTAAGTCGTGGCCACAATCACATTACACCATTTATATGAATTTCCCTAATTAACTAGACATGTGCTATAGTACAAGGACGCCCCTACTTCACCAGCCTGTAAAAGTGACATTTATACAACTTATTGACTGGTCAATAATTTTACATTTAGCGTCACTATGATCCTTATTGTTGACCCAATGACCTCGTAATTATTAGATGTCATCTACTGATCAGATGTAATGGTCTTCCTGGGTTATACTAAACTATGGCTTATCCCTTCTAGATTATTCATCAGACAAGGATTTACCTTATAGGCTATCTACTGTCAATGGGCAATGTCCCTCCGTAGTACGTACAAACTGACCAATTCGGTCACAAAATTGTCCCATGGACCTTGGAAGGTGACTTTCTAATATGACCCTAAAGACAAGTTCAAAGTGAATATCTTCAGTATTTTCAAAGATTAATGTTGCATGTAAAAGTAAGTTGTTAAGTTTTAAAAAATCATAATATATATAGTGTATTCTGATTGGTTAATTATCTCGTGGCCATGAAGCTATCTCGTTCCCACGACCGACTTAGTAACATGTGGCTACGACAGAGTATCTCGTGGCCACGACTTAGCTATCTCGTTTCCACGACTTAGTAACTCGTGGCCACGACATAGAATCGCGAGGCCACGAGATAAATAAAAACACACACATGTCACCTTTGTGCCACCATAATAAAAGAATAAATTTAATAAAAACTTTGCATACCAGTTCTATGATGGCATGAAATATCAATGTGATATGGCGAATGTCTTCTCCTTTTTGTTTTTGGTCCAGATTGCAGATACTGAAAAGTAAATGATAGTGTTGTAATATTTCCTCCAGCACAGTTTTTTCTGTATATATCTAGTTCTACAGATGACGGATGTGGGTCCGGTCTAGCGTAAAAAAGGGCCACGTAGAACGTAAATTCTTGAGTATCAATGTCAATGTCTCATTTATTTATTTTTTAAGTTAAGTAATCTTTTATGAAATTATATGAATATGAATACATGTATTATGAAATACTTAGTAATATGAATTATTATTAAAATACTTTCTTGTTATTTGTTTCTCTGTTTTGTTTTAAGAAACGTTTGTCACTTTAATCTAACATAATAAGGTACTTACCGGGGCTCAGCAGTCGCAATTTTCCCATGGGTAATACTATACAAAGTCAGGTGATTCCCCTCCGTGAATCATATTCATCCGCGTAATTTGTGATAATGCATTTATTGACAATTCTATAAGCCAACGCTACTTTTAAACTTTCAGTGTGTTTCAAATCGCTTGTTTTAAGTTGTTTTGAGAACTACTTGTTGTTAGGTTTGTCGTGAAGCGCTATGACAGAGCTGGAATGTCAGCTTTGTATTTCCTGATCTTCGATCAGAAAATACAAAAACTGTTTTTGGCGTGCTTTGGTAATCAATAGTGCAGGTAACTTGCTGGTACTCGAACTTGTTAGGATTAGACATATTTTATATTTATTATTGATTATAATGTGATTTCAATTCAACTTCTACACATCATACATATTTTCTGAGAGCGCTACAGCCGTTGCGGGACTGCGTCCTCGCTCGGGCTTTCCGCCTTTCAATAAGCTCGTTGAAATTCGGCAATCAGTGTCACATTCCGTTTTAAGAAGATAGCGGCTTGTTAATCTGATACCTGTTGTTCCTTGCCAAACATTTCTATACATGGAAAGATGCAAAATATGTCTTATATTGACAGAATAATTTCCTTAGAATAAGTTACCTTTGACAGGTCGTCATCATATCCTTCTATGAGATATTCTACCAGGACATCTATAGGTTTGCTTAGGGTCGTCAATGGAATCTAGAGAAAAAAGTATGTTTTGACATATTAAAATGAACTTAAGCTTCTTTGACCAACACAACTCAGCTTAAAAATACTTGATTCGGATTTATAGTCACAAAAAGCAAGTTAACTGGTTATAGCTAAATAGTGACTTTACAACATATTAAACTTTAAGGCCCAAAAATGACAACCATTTTCATGGAGAGTCAGAGATGAGTCATCAGGATAAATGGTTAATCGAAGATTTCTATTTCTAAAATTACTACCTAAAGAATGGAGATGAAACCCGTCTAAAATGACACAAAAAGTCAAAAGGATAGAAGCAAATCAGTCATAAGCAGAGCTGGGGTTATCGCTAATCGCAATCGTCGATTTTAAATCGATTGCATGATTACACTGTAATCATCATGTAATCGATTACCTTGCCGAAAATTGATTATATTTAATACATTAATCCATAACAACTTAAATTAAGCCAGTTATTATGATATTAATTACTACCAGATTTAACAGGAAACTATTTAAATTCAAAGGATGCTTTTATTTCACATGATACATTAAGTTATACATTGAATGTAATCAATTATCAATCAATAATTCTCTAAAAGTAATTGTTAATTGATTACAGAGGCAAGTCTGAGTAATGAATCATAATCAATTGCAATAAAATCTGAAACTAATAAATTACTGATCGATGTAATCATCCCAAGATCTGGTCATAAGAAAACAGAAAAAGTCAGGTAGAAACAGGCATTTTACCTAGTGTCACAAAGAACAATAAGAAGAAAACAGCAAGTGAGCTTAAACAGCTAATAAATAGAACGTAAAAACATGAGTAGGCCGAAATAAAAACGGTATCGAGAAGTTTGCTTTGGCTCAAAAAGATCAAAATTCAGTTCATGTATAGAGCTAATTTCGAGCTAGTCATCGGCTCAATATCAAGTTTTCTTTGAATTTTGAGTCTGCTCAAGGATCGAAATTCAAAATCATTTTAAGCTGAATTTCGAGTCGGACTTCAGCTTCGAGCCAGCTCGATTATCGAAAATCAAAATTCGTAAAGCTAAATTTCGAGTTGGAATCGAATTTTGAGCCAGCTCGAGGTTCAAAATTACCATTACATTGTAGTTGAATGTTGTGCTGATGCCAGCTTGAATATTAAACATTTTTATTTCTTTCTGGAGTCTAATTTTCAAGTCGGGTTGAAGATCGAAATTCAAATTCTTTTAAAGCTTAATTTCGACCTGAAGATGACTTTTGAACTAGCTGAAAGACCGAATTTCAAAATCTTTACACGCTGAATGTCATGCTACATTTGAATTTCGAGCCAAGTCTAAGATCGAAATTTAAAATCTTTTAAACTTAATTTCGAGCTGCCGAAGTTGTATTCCGAGTTAGCCAGAAGATAGAACCTAAACAAATATTCATAACTTGAGATTCCTTCTTGAATTTTGAGATAGTTGGGGAAAAAATATTCAGAATTTGCATAAGCTGAAGTTTGTGTTGAAGATGAATTTCTAGTCAGCTTGGAAATTTAAATTCCAAATCGTTAAATACTGAATTTCTTTTTGGAGATGAATTTGAGCAAACATGGAGATAAAATTACGAATATTTTAAAGCTAAATTTCGAGCCAGCGCGAAAACCGAAATTCAAAATAAAATCATTTAGTACTGAATTTTGAGCTGAAATAGAATTTTAAGACAGTTTGGAGATCAAATTTCAAAATTTAAATACCTTGAATTTCATGCTGGTGTTAAATATTGAGCTAGTTCGGAGATCAAAATTTAGAATTTACATTATTTGAATTTCATGACGGAGTTCAATTTCCTGCCAGTTCGTAATTCAAAATTCTTTGAAGCTAAATTTAGTGATGATGTTGAATTTTGAACCAACTCGTAGATCAAATATTTAATTGAAAATTGAAAGTTGAAAATTACCTTATTTTCGAAAATGTTACTCGTTGTGTATACATTTTGGAAAAATATTACAATTATTCTATTTTATTTCGTTCTTGTTAGTAAAATACATTTTTACACGTTGAATCCAAAATCATCAAGCAATTCAAAACAGATATCTTTTTTTTTCAATTCAATGATATCAAGCAGTGAACTTTACTTTTATATTCCTCTTATTAAATTCTAAAGAATAACTGCACTACATTTAAGTTATTCCAGTTTAAATTGTTTAAAGCCGTCATGCTTTTCAAATGAAATCGATTATATTATATAATCAGAAAAAGGTCCTCATTTCATAGTGTTAATTGTAAGCTTTTATCATTTTTTCGGGTAGATCAAGTTGATGCATTTAATTAACAAGATGGGTGAGCAAGTGTTACAAGTTTGAGGAAAATTCCTTAATAAAGTACTTTTGGAATTATGCTCAGGGCGAAACTTTTAAGGTACTTCCTACTTCCTACCACAGGCGCGGAGCTATTTGTGTTTACTTTTTTTGTCCATGGACCCGATTTTTATCAATTAATCCCTTCGATTTACAGCTAAAAAAATTCGGAATCAATAATTCCTTCCGATTTCTATTGTGTAAAGTCATTTATTATTAATTATTAGTTATTGGTTTCACCTTTGATGATTCGCAGCAATGAGAACGGAAACAAATTTCATGCATCAACCGCTGGGAAGGCAGTTTAAAAGACAAAACAAAAAATAAACTTAAATTCGGTAATGTATGTCTTACATTTGTATTTTCTACAGGAAATTATTACGTATTATTTTGCAGTACACAGTGAGTTATGTATGTACTTTATTGCTGTTAAAGATGACCTAGATAACATTGTGAAAGTTCGAAAATATATTTATAGAAGTGAGTCTGAAACTAAACGAAACGATCATTCGTTTCGCGCTATGGCTGGAGAATTTTGCAGGAAATGAAATGCAAACGTATTCAACGATAAATTGCACTCTTTATAAATTTATCGAAAAAAATAAGTAAGCCATTTATACGAATTGTTATATCATAGTAGTATCCTTTTGCGTAGGTTTTTCCCGTTAAATTGATAGTTCCTTTATTTTTTTACTGTGAATATTTAAATCGACCCTGATTTCCCGAATTCTTGCTGTAAGAAGTTAATTTTATTTTGTTTGACGGCATTCGGTGTTATGGTGGTTTGAGTGGAATGTTGGTTTGTAGAATACTGTGACATTTTAACAACAGAAACTTTCGTCGAGGTGTTATCATGGAGCAAAGCATTTTTTTTAAATTCTATACCGGGCCCCTTTCTCATGGACAGTGCATACGATTTGTATTATCATGCAAAAATGATTTACAAAACATCCGGAATAACGTACAATAGTACTTAATCTGAATAGAACATGGCCTGTGCGTAGGACTGATTTGGTAAGGTTTCTGAAATGAGCGCATTTTTTACGCGGAGTTTCTCAATTGCTGCATTGCAGCAACATTTGTACTTGTAAATTTGGTTATGCACTGGACAAAACTGCTAAGGTAAATGTAATAAATGAGAATTACACTAAAAGCAGACAAAGTAAAGTTATTTTTCATGCCCAGTACACTTTCTACAAATGTGCTATGTCATTGTAGGAAGTTTAAAAAAAATCGCTCTATAACTTTGGAGTTATGCTCTCAAAAAAATAGGGACGGACGTACGGAAGCACGGAAGGAGGCCATTTCTAATACCCCCTTCGCCTTTGTCGGGGTGTAATGATATAAACAATAAATAAACATAACAAAAAATTAGCCTTTAATTTTACAAAAGAAAAATCTTTACAGTTACTTGTTTAATGAACTAACATTGAAAACAAGCTACATATAAATAATATCATTATGGAAAACAAATTACGCGTGCAAAACAATAATGAAACTATTTAAGCTATTTAAAATAGCTTAACATAATGAAAAATACATGATGCAACCAATGTTTCTGAAAGAATTTGTTATTTTTATTTATTATATGGTTCAATTCAGGATCGCTCTATGTGGAATGTTAAAAGATTCTCGAAATAAAGCACTTAATATCAAGTATTTTTTTAACTAATTTGTACAACAAGGGCGAACAATTTTATTTCAATCTACAACGGTAAGGGGCAAGTGAATAAAAGGCTGAATCATTAACTTCTAAAATCTAAAGAAACAAAGAAGAAAGTGCGTTAAGTTCGACGTTCAACCTTAAAATAAGCCAAGCCTGAATGTAACGCAGACGCAACATTCTAACACAATATTGCACAACAATTGAAAACAATGTTAATATAACAAGAAACTTGGCAATCCACAAAATCAAAGCACAGAAGACGCTGAATTTGTTTCAGAAAATTGGAGGTTATGCGATTATAAACCAATTTGTTTGTATAGTGTCACCAATGCTGTTTCCAGTGTTATAACTATAGTAAATTGGCTATAAGACTAATTGTAACACTGCACTGATATTCAATTCAATGTGTATTGGCTTAAAAAAATGAGTTGCCTGAACTGGAATTTGAACTCCAGACCTCTCGCTTCCAAAGTCAGCGTGTAAACCCCTCTACCACGGGGAGTTATAGATAACAGCCTGAAGAATACCATATTATTCTTAGTTAGAGTTTGTAACGCTTATTAATTTCGATATATTTTGTTCACGGTAAATCTGTTGTTTAACACTGAAGTAAATAATCATGGAGCTGAATATAAGCATGTATATCTATAAGAATAACACAATATTAGAAATCTTCGACCAATCGGGCACTATTTTTTCGTTACGGAAATTAATGCGCCTGTTATTTGACAATCTTTACGCTGTGATCTCGAGCTTCCCTTAATTTTTCGGCGTTAATGTACATATGAAGGGAAGTAACCGCTTCGAGGAGTTTGGACTACTTTCGGTATTTGCAAATAAGAACTTCAGGGTCTGAAATTTCGATACCATTATTTGTTTGGTCTGACGACCCAAACAAATAAAAACCAGGTTTTCGATATCACCATTGTTGAAAGTTTTGTTGTCATTGGAATATAAATACAAGCAACAATAACAAAGACCCGACGGGGCTCAAAAGCAATCGCAATTGAAGCTTTC